TCTTATGGTATATTACGTCAGAATATTCACATTTTGTAATGTTTTATTTTAGTGTTTTAAAATTATTCATTTCTAACACACGCATTTATAAAGTCGACATATTTTCTTAATTGTATTCGCAAAGATGTCCACAACCAGTAGGACATTGTCGATTATTATTAAACCATTCTCTCATATGATTTATATGGCCTCCATGTGCACAACCTTGACACCATATGTAGACACCACGTACAACCTTGACACCATATGTAGATATCACATACAACAAAAAAATATCAATATTAATAAAAATATTTACACATATATATTAATAAAAATATTAACAATTTTATCATTTGTACTGGAATTGTTTTATTATAATTGAATGCAATTAATTTCCATATTGATTATAATATAATTGTATTAAATTGTAATTAAATTTGTGAATTAGGCTTTAAAAATAATTTTTTATTATCTGTATAATAAATTAACCAAATTTTGAAGAAAAGATTTATACACAAACAATTTCAAAAAATATATAATATAAGATTCTAAAAAATAAAAATCAAAGTGATAAAAAAATATAAATCAATTTAAAAACAATGAATATTGTAATTTTTTGTTTTTTAAGTTCATTTCATTTTGAATATAAATACAAATTATTTTATAAATTTAAATGACAAGAGCTAAATTTTTCTTACCTGATTACAAATAGAACACAAAGCGTGTTCGGGGGTATGACAATGATCACACAACCATGCAGATCGTTGCAATGATTTTGTGCATGCTACACAACACGCATGTATCGTAGTTGATTGTTGATTCAATTGAGATATAGATGGTATCCATGCCAATTGTATTATCTATAAATAAAATTATTTACATTAAATCAAGTATTTTTATTATTTATGAATAAAAACTATCAAAAAAGAAATAGTCAATTGCAGTTAAATAATATAATGCATTCTGTAATTATGAACAAACCTGTGTAGCTACATGCCAGAGCTTAAATTTGCCGAGCAAGTCTAAATATTCTAATATCCAATGTTCTTGTAAAGCTACAGGAATATTCAATTTTTTCCTTATTTCTCCTAAGACAATGAGCATCGATACTGTCGTCTGTACATCTCTTATTGCTGTGTGAAAGTGCAGTCCTTCCAGAACTAGAGGCGTAAAATCAAAAGGTAGAGGTTTTGGTAGAACCGGAACTACTAACTTAGGTTGATCTTCGACTATAACAGAAGTTGAATTCTCGCTGAGATCAGGAGGATGATTGGGAAATTGTTCTGGTGGCGGAGACCGATCTTTGATTTCATGTCGCAAAGGAAAAGCCTCCTTCTGCAATTCCTTGGTCCAATCATCATCCTCCATGCGCATCACAGTTTGCCTATTTTCGCCGTGATGTTCCAAAGATACAGGTTCATACTCGGTTTCACCAAAGATAAAATCACCTCGCGATGTAGAAGGTATATCGCTAAGTAATGGTCTCCTATAATTAGAAACATCAAATATTCTGATATTACACTGATAGAAATCAATTAATCTCAACATACACGCACGCCATATAACTCTAGAATTTATGCAACGATGAATATATAACAGTACCTTGGCAGAACAGTTGTCGTATTAGTCGATGGCCCTGTGATATTTTGATTCTCCAGTGCTTCAGTTTCCGTTTCAGTCTCATCGTCACCGCCACTGGCAGCGCCAGCAGGATTTTCTCCCTGGAGAGATCTTGCGTCCTGTTCATGACCTAAGAAAAATCAATTTATACAATTAAATGTGATATGATAACATATTAATATGTTGTTCACATGATATTTCTGCTTATACTTACTTGATTGTTTACTCGCATTTGATTGTTCCATACCAGAACTTTTTGTTACTCCCGGTATTATATTTGACGTATTAACTATATCTTCTTTAGGTACCGTCGGTGCACTCTTTTGGAGTATCTCGAACGGATCTGTATACATGACCTTTAAGACTTGCCACGCTTTGCTGACCTGTATAAATAATAAAAAATAAGTTTTATTATTATTAAATATATTGATACTATTATATAATGTATATACAAAAACAACATTTTTTTTCTTACAACATAATTGCCAAAGTTATACGCGACATGTGCATTGTGATCGCAGGCTTCACTTAAATTTCCAGAAAGCAAATAATTTTCTGCGGCTATCTTAAACCAATCCGGTTCGCGTACACATCCACGGAATCTATTCATTACACTTGAAGCCATGCAAAAATTATCATCATTTGTTACAGGTGTTCTCCTGCAAAAGAACAAAAATATATAATCGCAACCAAATTTTAAAAAATTAAAAAAATAGAAAGAGATTATATTCTCTTTCTCTCTCGCT